AAAAACAAATCAGCATAGTTAAAAAACAGTTTGTAAACACAATGGGCATCAAATTCTGTTATCATACACAGCACAGACAGAGTGTAATGGTTCCAGGACGCTACTCTCTAAAGAATAATACAACATGTTTGATTGATTATACAGAATTTACTAATACACTAACCACTACTAACTCCAGATATTTCTTAAAGAGAGAGGATCATCACCTGCGCACATGTGGGAATTGAGTCCCAAGCCAAGATAACAACACATGCTAAAAACTCAAAGGCTCATGGGTAGACCCTTTTTTTGTAAACAATGACATGCTATGGACGCCTGACACATGTGTAGGTGACGACTCCCTCGCTTTAATAATAATCTTTTGTGGTATACACATTTTCTATAAATCCAGTGCTCTGGGGACAAAGCGGTTTCAAAGCATGAATGGATGACATATCGTTTTATCTGTAGTGATCCATCAACCAAGACTACGTTATCGATTTTATTATATAAACTAGATGACTAAACAGCATTTGACTGACGTCTCTTTCACTCATACATGTCACTTTGACATCACAGACACATTCTGTCACTAGAGGATGTGGTTTATACGAAAAGTGTAATTTAAAGTCATACTCAAAAGATGCAAAGGAGGCATGGTCTTGAATAAACCATCATGAGCTAACCTGACAAAATGATCACGTCCACCAACGGCAAATTCATGCGCATTCATAGGATTTATAAAAATACTATACAAGGCAACCTTCTTATCATTCTCCTTCGTAGTAACCAATCTGTGAAATAAAATAACTGTTAGAATGAACTCAAAATTGCAATTGGATCAGCTCATATGGGTAGACCAATATACAATGTACACTCTAGATCTCAGGTTATCAATGAGACCACATCCCTGGAAATTAACACCACATGGTAATACCAATTTGCATATCATTTGCATATTATTTTGCATATCATTTGCATATCATTTGCATACATATGCACATGTGTAATATGGGTACTCCTATAGGGCACTTCACACAATAACAAAA